TATTTTAATAATCCCAAGCCGAATTGCCTTCGTTACATTACATTTGTAAAAGAGTGACTATAGGACCAATTTGATATAACACAATTTAACACAATATATATAATTAGGGGGTTCCTACTCCATCTCGCCATCAGTCTGGAGGTCCTTGGCCTCGAAAACATTGAAGACCCCTGGCCTAGGATGCAGAAGTTCATCCTGCTAATGGCAAGACACCTGACTCGCACTAAAGTGTTGATGGTGCTAAGAGGGCCCTGATGCTTTTTTTGCTCCTCTAAGTGTGCACCTGTGGCTACAATGTATCAGACAGCATGGGATACATTACCGTTGCTATGCTGATTATATTCAGCTATGATTTCCCATCAATCCTAATAGGTGTTAACACTAGTGTGTACTGTTTAGCTTTCAACACTAACCACTAGTGTTGGATGAATCCATTCCTGATGAGTTGAATTTAAGAGTTTCATTCCAAGTGACTCACTGTTTTATCTGTTTAATATGTTCAAAAGCGCTACTTTAATTTGATCTGGTGTGGATAAATGTAGACACTTTAAAAGTGTTTAATTCAACTCCCTGGGAGTTGAGTAATAAGAATATTTTTTTTTTGCATTTCAGGATTCCTGGATGTGCATCTTTCCATCTTTTTGTTTTCTGCACCAACTTTTCCCTGCATAGTGCAAGGAAGCGTTCCCTATCTGTAAGTGGGCCGTCCCTTGCGAAATGCAGGTCAAACAGCAAAGACCTGTAAACCAAACTTTCATGTAATCCATAAAACCCTAAAAGAACCAGAAAAGGCATTCCCAATCCAGAGAGGCCAGACCTTTAACTAAGGATGATTGAGGATGATTTATTCTGATCAGTCCAAATATATTCATGTTCTGGGACTTGCTTCTAAAATTTATTTAAAACTTTAGAGAGCAAACTGCATCATAAAAAATAAAAAAACACGTCGGGGAGAAAATTACTGGTGTTGATTGGTAGAAATCTTGAGAAAAAGTTTGGGGTTGTGAAAAAATAGTATCTTGTAAAAATGTATGGCTTAGCTGGTAAAAACATTCAGATAGGATGTTCTAAGGACACCTTCAGTACTGCAGATGTTAACACAGCTGGCTATGTTAACCAAGTTCTCCATGGCCCAGACACGACACAGCAATCTCTCTGCCAGCAAAGGTCTCAAAGGCAGCCTTAACCAAATCTGAATCCGTATTCACTGCCTGAACAATAACTGTTAGATTTAATTCTGGGTAAAACTATAACAAGAAATAGTATTTTCCTTGCCAGCCATGCATAGAATGTGTTAAAGAGATTAAACAAACTCCCAATAACACATTCATAGCAGGCAGCTATAAATACACAGACGATCAAAGGAAAGATGCGATGATCTATTTTCTGTTGCAAACACACTGTCCCATGTGTTTACTTCACTCCACTGCGATAATTTGTTTTTTTTTACTTTCCCTCCTCTGCGAAGATGAAAATGAGTTTTGGCAGGTAACAGAATTTGGGTTTAATATTTTGCTCCCGCTTGAGCACTCAGCAGCTGTAAAGAAATAGACCTGTCAGTGCCAGCTTCTCTACCACAGCTTGTGCAGAAAGGGAAATAGAAAACAACACATTCTATGAAAACACAAATGTAACTTAGAATCCAAAAGACTCCAACTAAATACACTAATGCTGAAGCGCAGACATGAAATGAGCAGCAGAAGTTAAAAAATGTCTCCAGTTGAGTTCTTGCTTTCTTCTATTCACACATAAACTTAACAGATATGTCTAAAACCTTTTGCACGTCAATCAAATCTATTTAGAACATTTTAGAAATGACTTTTCTCTTTTGGTAAGTCGTGAGGGAAAATATAATTAAAGCAGAAGGCTAAAATGTATGTTCTAAACAGATACTAAGGCCAACTAAATGCATATGATTAGGCTGAACAGAATAAGGGCAAAGTGATAGCCTTGTGCTATGAATATTTACTGTTTTTTTCCTAATGTTTTTTTGTTTTTTTCACTTTTTCACTTTGAATTTTGTTCCATTCTTCTTGTTGCAAACAAAGTAGATTTTTTTTTATTATTGTTTTTTTTTTTTATTATTATTCTTTTTTTTGTTTTGTTTGGTCTTTACTCGCAACAATAATGGGACAAAATTAACCCCAATATTTGGATTAATTGATTTTCTGGTGGATCAATTAATTTTCTAATGATCATATCCTTATGCATCTGAAGCAACAACCATATCACTATGGAAATGTTTGGTAAATTACAACCAAAATGAACCACAAATACATTAAAAAACATCCTATACATAAACGTCTTTAAAAAAAGCTAACCAAAAAGCTCTGTGTTAAAGCGAGGAACATTTTAATAATCAGACCAAGAATACTTAGGCTCAAATGATCAACCAAAACACTTTAATGAAAAGAACTGAAGGTCTAAAAGACCAATATAGCTACTTTCCGGCTCAGTGCACTGTTCTGTTTAGATGTTAATCTCTGTAATTTAATAAACATGGCTCTGCATGACTAGAGCTCAGACTTTAAATAAATTGTGTGTTTTTTTTTTTTTTAACATGACGATCTTAAAAAAAACCCTGCTGTTTTCCCTGATGCTGATTAACAGCACTGTTTTGTACGGCATATCAATTAAATCTTTGAAACTCAGGAAAAGAGGCATAATGATGAAGGTTGTAAAAAGGAAGTGATGAAGTGATGAAGGAAGTAAACAGCTTCTACTTTCAATGTTTTGTAAGATTTTTACTTTAATGTTGGTAAACGTTTTATTATAAAGCAGTACCCTCAGCCTTATGTTTACCCAAATTTACAAACATGATTATATTACTGCAAATGCTTTATAGATCATTAGCTTATGATCATAAATCCTGTTCAGATCAATTATGTAAATTTGTTTGGAACTAGATCATACAAAAAATGTTAGACACAGCAAATGCTGGTAGTGATTTTAAATTAGATTGAAATTATTAACATATATAAGTAGTGTAAATAATGTTGGAATGATCTATCACTGCAGTAAGGATTATAAAATGTTCATCTTGGACAAGTTTAATTATACAGAAGTTGATTTTCACCCTATATATTGTTTGCAATGTCTAAAACTAAAGCAGCACAAATGGCTTGTTCACAAGTTGTTTTGGGATTTAGTTACTCACCCCTGCTCCTCCATCATCTCTTGGAGCTCCATGCATTTCAGCTCCACCCTCCTCTTCCTCTCATGGTCCAGAATCTCTCTGTGCGGCTTCTTCACCAGGACGGGCGCCAGTATTACCTCCTCTTCCTCCTCTGTCCCTGGCTGACCCTCCTCAGTTTTGGCCTGCAGCACCGCCGTGGCTGCCGGCCCTCCTGCACCCGCTGCTGTTCCGGGTTCAGATCCAGGGACTACAGGTTGGGCCACTGCGTTTACACCATCCTTTGGTGATGGCACCCTTGTTGCATCGTACATGATTACTCTGTGGAGGCAAAGAGAAAAGCACATTGATAAGTGGAGTTCATAAATCCCATGTTATGCTTATGATGTTATGTTTAATTATTTCTATATACTTTGGAACCATTTCAAACATTTACATTTGTTGCCTGCAACAGCAAATGTGTGCTTAAAGAAACCAACACATCTTTCAAACTGTAAGATGAGGGGTTTTGATTCAAATATCTTTAGACAGGTTGCAGAGTTCTGCTTAAAGTGAGCAGCGAACATGGCAAACTTTGCATATGTCACCTTAAAATGATACAGACAAATGCACATCCAGAAAAGACGCAGGTAGCAGTTTCTGCCTGAGTCCTGGAGCAAATAAAGACAGGTTTGGAAGGGAGAAGGGTGTATGGGTTCATTTGTAGTAGGACAAAGTAAAGGTAGAACGGGAGCAGAGGGTAAACTGTTCCCTGGCGTTTAACCTGGAGCAACGAGACCAGTGACGGATGAGATTGTATGCATTTACTTTCTTTGAAAGTGACTTTATTCACCTATCTGCTTCTTTTACTCGTGAAGTGATGAAGCTGTCACTTCACTGTATGAAAAGCATCTGGTGAAGATGCAGCATGGATCATGTTCTGGTCGAGATAAATTGTTCCTCTAAGGTCAACACGGGTACATGGAGATGGAGAGGTGGGGGATTTGCATCACCGTGACTCTCAGATGCCACCCAGCATCGCTGTTCTTCTTCTTCTATGACAGATAGCTTCATTTTTCACAAAGGACACAAAAAACAACAAACAGCAGATGTACTTCATCACTGTCAAGAGAGGATGATGATGCAGCTACATGCGGCTGGAGCTTCAGGACTTCCACGTTTTTATCTTTATGCTGTGGGACTGTGGCAGTGATGTGCTTCTCTGCTGCTTGCAGTGATCTTTGACTAGTTAATGGGGATATGTTAGCGTTTTAACGTGCTGTGCCATGCTAAACCAGGCATGGATGTGTGCGTAGCGATGCTGCTCTTGGCTGATGGAACAGTTGGCGCCACAGCAGGAAGCATCATCTCCTAATCTGTAATACAGTAAATCAGCACCTGATAATCCATGACAGCAGTCTGTGATACACATACGACTGTCTGCAAGATATGGCATTTATCACACTTTGAAACTACTTTCAGGTAAACCTAAATGAACAGGGACCTTACAAAGGTCCTTTACTGACACTAATATGATCAGCAGGGAGTTCTTTGGGTAATGAACTGATATAAGATCCTTCTACATGAACATAGTAGGACAATAGCCATATTTCCATTACAAATGTCAGCAAAACTATGTTGATATTCTTATAAACTCGGAAATACAAAGTCCTGCAATTGAAGTATTTACATGAAATAGCAAATACAATTAAAACTGCATGTGTATATTTTTGTTCATGCGATAAATCTGAAAATGCCATGTTTCAGCTACATATCATCCTCCAGCTACTTCTGGTCTTCTTCTTCTTCATCTTTTTAAAATGTAAAAAGTTCCAGCTGAACATCACATCACTTGCATGATGCAAAAAAAACGTTTCAATTGCTGTTTTGTGAAATATTACAATTTCGAAACAACTGGAAAACAACCCTATTAAAGTGTAAAAACGCTTTTGTAATCACAATTTGCACAATTTGAGGGACAGCGGATACGTGGCTAATGATAATTTTTACGTCTCCAACAAAAAACAAACAATTATTAACAAATTAAAAAAACATTTACAATGCACTGAAAATGGAGGGCGTGGCAATACATGCACTTCATGTAATCTCAAGCTATGGCTGCTGAATGCATTAATTCTGGTTCCCTAACTTTTGTTTAAAAGAAAGTTTTAGTGCCCCATAATCTCTAATCCTCCTTTCAACTTTAACAGCAGTTAAACAATGAAAAGTCAACAGCAGTAAATCAAATATGCAAAGAATTAAGCAACAATCTACTTAAAATCGCAAAAACTACCACCATTAAAGTGCAATTATATTAGGTTTAGCCATTTATTTTGTTGTGTGACCATTAAGATTTTAGCTTGCAATTGATATATAGATTTAAAAAAATCTAAAACTGATTTATTTACTAATTTTCTTCCACTACAATGACAGTTCATCACCGCGGGGGTCAATCCCGCACTTTTGGAAACCACAGCACTAATAAATTGGCCGACATATATGCACATATTGGCCATAGACAATACAAAAAAAATAAACGCTAACATTTGCCAAAAATATAGACACACAGATGTATCTGTATATCTCTAAAAGGCGGTGGATGTTTTTGGTGATCAAAGCATGGGCCTTTATAAATGTTTTCTGAGGTTTTTAAACAGGAATAGCAATACGTCAAACATTCACTAACATTGTTTCATACAGATGTAATCAGCCTATATATCATCCAACAAAAATTATTACAAAAAACATTAACCAAAAAAATGAATGAAATATTTGTATTAACGTTTTGTTTATTAATTTCACGACAAGTATAATATTATGATGCTATGGTTTCCATTAAGGAAAACCATACTGGTTCTGTAGTAGAAAGTGTTATGAAGTCAGAGAAAACCTAAACATGTCTGTTCAAGTCTGGATGGATCTCTCAGAAACGGGGAGAGAAAAGACACAAATGTTTTTTTTTTTTTTATTGGATGTCATGTCTTGGCCGACTGAAAAAGCTGAAGGTAACACTCCCAACAGATTTCGCCATATGGGCCCATCCACGTGTTAAAGTCAGGTTCTGCTGTGATGAGCTACAATAAAATGAAGATATCATTTGAAAATTGGAGAGGCCTTCTGTGCAACAACAGATGTGGGCTCTGCAATGGTGTGTCTAAGCTTGCAGCCTCATTACACGTACCATGTTAGTCTGTCTTGTGAAAAACAGGAGCAGAAACAGAAAAAAAAGACAATAAATTGTATCAGGAAAGCTGTGAAGCCACTCGGCTGATCGTGTTTAGGATCTCTACAGGAGATGAAGGTCTCTGTTCCACCGCTATTATAAGATCATCTGCTACGTGAGACAATCACTGGACCTAATCAGCCATTTTGAAATGTTCCTAAAGTGGAGTCTGGGCCCCTGGAAGGGTCACAAGATATAAAGTGGGGTTCACCAGATGGTTTTCACAATCATGATGTGATCCCTGAGGTATTTGGAGGCTTGAAATACATCAGGTAATAGGTAAATTGTGACAAAATAAGTAAAAGTTATATTTATTTATTTATCTCATACATTATTTATATATTATACATAATAAAATGCACATTTAAATAATTAAATATCCTTATATTACATTTCATTTAATTAATTCCTTTATTTAAAAAAATGATATAATTATTTCACTTTATATGTATAAATAGAGGGCTGCTCAGAAAATTAAACTTTGAAAAACTTCTTATTCAAAAAAATTAGAGAAACTGCTGTTATCTGAGATTTCTTTTTCATAAAAAATTCTATTATTTTTCACATTTAACTTTCAATTTTTTTTGAATTTTTAAAAGATATTTTTTGCAGATTTGACTTGGGCTGCTCAGTGGGGCAGTGGGTAGCATTGCTGCTTTGCAGCAAGAAGGTTTTTAGTTCGATTCCCAGCCCGGGGTCTTTCTGCATGGAGTTTGCATGTTCTCCCAGAGCATGTGTGCGTTCTCTCTGGGTACTCCGGCTTCCTCCCACAGTCCAAAAATCTGACTGTTCGGTTAATTGACTTCTCTAAATTCTCTTTAGGTGTGGTGTGTGTGAAACTTTGTTTGTCCTTTTTGTCTCTGCTTGTCCTGTGATGGACTGGCGACCTGTCCAGGGTGGACCCCGCCTCTCGCCTGTAGACAGCTGGAGGTAGTCACCAGCACCCCTCACTTTATCCCCAGCTGGGATAAAGCGTGACAGAAAATGGATGGATGTATAAATAGATATACAGTTAAATAACATATATTTTTATTTAAAAAATACATAATTAAAGAAATTTACTACAGACATTCATATATATATACAGTGTATTCTCATTATGAGTTCGTATGAAATCGTACGAAAAGTTATGCACCGTAATTTCGTACGTTTTGGACGTTTTTTTCATCATATGCGCATGCGCATCTTACACACCACTCAAGAAAATAGAATTTAACATAGAATTAACCCTAACCCTGACCCTAACCCTAAGATATAAAACAGCAAGCAACGTAGTTAGAGACATGAATAAGTGATGATTGCACTGTTTTTCCCAGTTTCACGTCCGTCCGCTGATCTGCTTTTTTTTTCTGTCTGCCAGCGCACTGATGTGGTTTTTTAAGGAAAAACGTCCAAAACGTATGAAATAGTGTGCATAACTTTTCGTACGATTTCATACGAACTGATAATGAGAATATGTTGATATATATATATCTGTGTGTGTGTGTGTGTCTAATATTACATTTTTTTTTATTAAATATTACATTTAAAATAATTCAACAAATAATTAAATGTCATTTAAAAATATAATTTTTTCAAATAAAGGTATTTCCCTCCAGCTGCGTCTGTTTTTGAGCAGCATCCAACCTTAAATGACAGAATCAAAGCCTGTAAATAAAACCATGCATGTGCCAGGTGTCGGTCTTTGCTGAATGTTGAAAGCTTACAATAATTCCCACTTGAGCATCGAGATCTTTCAATTACATGGTGGCTGGCAGCCCACACAGGGCTGACTGATCTTATACACGCCGTAGATGGATCATACAATTAAAGCGCAATTAATAATGATAATTGGTCACAAGCTGAAGAGAAAATATCTTAAACACATTAGAAAGTTAATGTTGCATGAAGTTAAGATGACATAAGAGAGGAAATTACCCATATCTCTACCATGATGCTCTGTTTTTTTTTTTGCTTTAACGGGAGGTTATCGTCAGAGATCTTTAACAACAATTACTGAAGCTTATGTCATGGCCTGCGGCCGAAGACAAACACCTGAGTACCTTTAATAGAGGAGATGTTTATTTATATGTCCCCGAACAAATGGCCATCTGGTCCTTCTCACAATGGAGAAATTAAC